TGAGGACGGGAGGAGGAGGAGAGGGAGGAGCGTATATGGAAGTATGTAGGAGACACTGTGATGGAATTGGGAAGGAAGGTTAGGAGGAGGAGGAGAGGGAGGAGGGAGGAGGAGGGAGGCATGATAGGGTGAGTGACGACGACAGGTGGGAGGGAGGGAACGTGACACTGGGACGGCTGAGAGGGAGAAGGTGACACTAGAAGATATCAAATGAGAGAGAGAGAGAGAGAGAGAGAGGCTGGAAGAGTGAGGAAAAGAGGAGTGAGGGAGCGAGGGAACAGGGAGAGGCTGGGATGGGGGAGAGGGAGGAGAAAGGAGACAGAAAGGAGGAGAGCACGGAAAGGAGAGAAATCTAGTTAAATGCGGAACGAGTGAAAGCAAAAGTGATCTGAGGGGAGAACAGTCACACACACACACACACACCACACAAGACACACACACACACACACACACACACGGGCCAGCGTAAGGAGGAGTAGAGGGGAGATGGAATGGTCCGTAGAGAGGGTGAGAAATGGATGATGGAAAGAGGGACACACACGAAGGGGAAGAGGAGAGCAGCTGAAGAGAAGGGGGAGGGAGACTGAGGAGACGACACAAGGCGAGAGACCGAGGGGAGAGGTGCGGGTGCAGACGGCGCCAGGAGAGGATGGGAAATGGGAGAGGGGATATGATGATGGTGAGGGGAATGGAGGGAAAATCAAAGAAAATGGGACACGGGCAATGAACGAAAGGGAGGGGAAAAGAGAATCAAAGGGAAGATGAAGTGAAGAGGGAAAGAGGCTGTCGAAGGGGATAATTTAGGGGGAGGGAACAGGCAAACTTAGAGAAAGAATTAATAAGAAAGGGAAGAGTCAGGTGGGGTGTGGGGTGGGTTGGGAGGGGTTTGGGGGGGAGGGGTTGGGGTGGGAGGGGTTTTGGGGTGGGAGGGTTTTGGTGGAGTGGCTGGCGATGCGCCGCCTGCCTGCCCAGCCGCCAACCATACCACCCAGATTTATAGCCACCAACACAGGTCATCACCGGCTACCCATTCAATACACCCAAACAGCACTTTATTTTGTTCATTATACATTATCCTACACCCACACGTCTAGCTTAGTCAGTAAAGTAGTAAGGCGTTCGTCGGTCATTCCAAATCAAAGCAAACATAACCCAACCTAACCAATCAACAAAACATAGCTAAACCAAACTAACCCAACCTAAACAAAAAAACTAAACCAAACTAACCTAACCTAAACAAAACCAAACCAACCAACTCCAAAGCAAACTTAACTCCAACTAACAAAACAAAACTAAACTAACCTAACCTAAAACAAAACTAAACTAACTCCTAACCTAAAAAGCTAAACTTAACCTAACCCCAACCCAAACAAACTAAAACTTAACCCAACCAAACAAAACTAAACCTAACCAACCTAAACAAAACTAAACCAAACCAACCTAACCCCAAACACTGAAAACCCAAACAAAGCAAACTTAACCTAACCTAAACAAAAATCAAACTCAACCTAACCCAACCTAAAACAAAACCAACTAAACTAACTTAACCTAAACCCAACCTAACCCAACCTAAACCAAAACAAAACTAAACATAACCTAACCCAAACAAAAACAAACTAACCAAACCTAAACAAAGCTCAAACTAACTCAACGCAAACTTAACTTAACCTAACCTAACACCTATATTTTGATTTAAATTTCCCCTCACAATATCCTCTTGCTCGACCACTAATCATCCTTCATCCTCTCCCTCACCCCCTCCTTCACCCCCTCCTGTAGATAAAAGTCTTGAACACTACCAGGAGGAGTTCCAGCCTCTTCCCCACAACACAGTACTGCACCAGCAAGCAACGTGTGAGGGTGATGGCTGCCCCGCGCCCTCAATCCCCCACCTGATACTTTCACCCAGTATATTTCTCACCAGACTTTACCTTCAGTCATGATATGTCGACGGAACTTTAGAGGAGGAAAAAAATCTAATTGAAAGAACTGTAACTTTCACGTCAAACTTTTTTAAAAGGTTTAAATCAGAATTTATTAAAAGTATCATAAGAGTTTAGTGTAATAATGAAATTACCTGCACTGTTCCTTGACAACATTACCTGCACTATTCCTTATAACATTACCTGCACTGTTCCTTGACATTACTGCACTGTTCCATGACGCCATCACCTACACTGTTCCACGACACCATCACCTACACTGTTCCACGACACCATCACCTACACTGTTCCATGACACCATCACCTACACTGTTCCATGACACCATCACCTACACTGTTCCACGACACCATCACCTACACTGTTCCACGACACCATCACCTACACTGTTCCACGACACCATCACCTACACTGTTCCACGACACCATCACCTACACTGTTCCACGACACCATCACCTACACTGTTCCACGACACCATCACCTACACTGTTCGACACCATCACCTACACTGTTCAATGACACCATCACCTACACTGTTCCACGACACCACTCCACACTGTTTCCACGACACCATCACCTACACTGTTCCATGACACCATCACCTACACTGTTCCACGACACCATCACCTACACTGTCCCACGACACCATCACCTACACTGTTCCATGACAACATTACCTGCACTGTTCCATGACAACATTACCTGCACTGTTCCATGACGCCATCACCTACACTGTTCCATGACACCATCACCTACACTGTTCCACGACAGGCCAATAAGGATGGTGAGGTGAATGGCAATATGGGATGACTCGGCAAGTATTAAACTTTACTCAACTTTTATAAAATATAATCAAGCTCTGGCAGCTAACCAAACTGTTATGAGTGTGTTCAAGTGTTCGCTGGTTATGAAGCGTTTGTTCAAGTGTTCGAGCGTTCAAGCGTTTGTGTAATTTGTTCAAGTGTTTGTTCGAATGTTTGCTGGAAATGAAGTGTTCGAATGTTCACGTGTTTGTTGGAATGTTCAAGCTTCTGTTCCAATTGTTTGTTCGGGTGTTCAAGTGTGTGTTCGAGTGTTCGCTGGTTATGGCGCAGAACCCAATAACAGAACGACATTATGTTAGTCAGCGGAGGTCGGCGACTCGCTCAGAAATAGACTGACAACAACTGCCAATGGTGAACTTGACTTTATAATCCATTACGGTTTATTTAAATTGACTTATGACATTAGTGTGTACCCTTGAGAGAGAGAGAGAGAGAGAGAGAGAGAGAGAGAGAGAGAGAGAGAGAGAGAGAGAGAGAGAGAGAGAGAGCAGTAACAATGGTGGCAGTAGTGGCACCAGTGGTTGGTGGTGGTAGTAGCAGGCAGACAAACGGTGGGTCGAGTCCAAACGCCTCCAGCAATGCAGCGGCAAGCCACGCAATGAGGGGACAAGAGGGGGAGGAGGGGTAGGAGGAAGAGGAGAAGGATCAGGAAGAGAAGGAAGATGAAGAAGAGGATTAAGAGTGTGGAGGGGCCGGAGGAGGAGAAGGCGGGGTGAAAGGTCGAAGGAAGGGAGAGGAGGAGGAGTGTACAAGTCAAAAAGAACATAGTGAGGTGAAACGTCTTGCTAAATTAGAAGAGCACATGACAGACAGACAAACAGACGGACAGACAGACAGACACCGGCCCTCCCGTTACTGTCACTAGCTGCTAGGCGACCCACTTGTGACACCCCGGATACTAACACTATTCAACATCCCTCATCACAATACTCCCACTTCCTCCCCCCCCTCTACCTTACATTCTTCTCCCCTCCCCTCTCTCCCTGCATTTTCCACCTCGTCTCCCCGGGGACAACAGAGCAACTAGTCCAGGAGGTAATTGCTCGAGCAAGTATAGGAAATGTGTGTGTGTGTGTGTGTGTGTGTGTGTGTGTGTGTGTGTGTGTGTGGATCCAGCTGCAGTAGTCTCCGACGCTGATATCACACACACACACGTACGTAGGTAGGTGTCTCAACGCCTCAAATGAATACACCAACACGACTCTCCTCCTCCCCCCCCTCTCTCCCCCCAAGCCCCCAAAGCCACCTGGCGACGCAGTGCTGGTGTGGTTAAAGGTGTTTGTGTGCAGTGGTCATAGTGAGGGCCTGAGGAATGATTGTGAGGAGGGATTGGTCGCTGGAAGGGAGGTGTGGTGGGTGGGAAGGGGTGTTGGTGTGGTGGTGGAAGGGTGTTGGTGTGGTGGTGGAGGGGGTATGGTGTGTGGAAGGGTGTTGGTGGTGGTGGAGGGGTGTTGGTGTGGTGGTGAAGGGGGGTGTTGGTGTGGGGTGGAAGGTGGTGTTGGTGTGGGTGGTGGTGGTGGTGGAGAGGTGTTGGTGTGGGTGGTGATGTTGGTTGCTGGAGGTGTTGGTGCAATGGTTGGGGGTGGAGAGGGGGGGGTGAAGGTCATGGTAGGAGAGAAGACGATTGAGATGGACGGTTGGTGTGTGGTGCTATAGTAGGACCTAACAATCACACCATACCACTACAGAGTTCCATCCTCGTAACACCAGAACGACACACAATCACCACCACACCAACACTATCCCCACGACCATCACCAACACATTCCCACCACCACCACACCTCATCTTCACCACCAGACATCCTATATCTAAGCCACCACCACTATCAAACACCATTTTTGCACCACAGGAGTGTTACACCATGAAAAGCACCATAATCTACGACAGACAAGTACCAAACACCATAACCTCATAGCCAAACACCACCATCATCACCATACCACCCCCTCATCCCAAAATCATCACTACAGCGCCTCCACCTCCCATACCTTCACCAAAAGCAGCACCATAACCCCAAGAGGCAATCTATACCACACTGCAGCACCACCATCCCTCATAACCCAACACCATCACCTCATACACCATACCACACCCCTAATACCAGCCCTTCATCCCAATACCCTCCCCCATACCACACCACGGTACTAGGCCTACACCACAGTACTAGGCCTACACTACAGTGGCCTGTCCACGTCTAGAGAAACACACACCACCCCGACACCTCGTACTTACGTCACAGCTCACCATCATCACCTGAGCTACCACCGATTCGACACCAAACCGTCTACCTCACACACGTACCTGTAATGATCAAAAGGTATTTATTATTAACGTCAAATAAGGTGCAGTAACAATACTTATACAGAATATACTACTACTACCCGTAATAATAATAATAATAATAATAATAATAATAATAACATACACAGGATCACCGTAGACTTGCCAATCCTCCCTCAACATCCTTCCCCCCTCCTTCAACATCCCATCTCCTCCTCCTCCTCCAACATCCTTCCACCCACTTGTTCCTCCCATCATCCCATCTACATTTCCCTCCATCCTGTTCCACCACCTCCTCGTTAAGTGAAACAGTGTGGTCAAAGGCTCACGAGGGAAGGAAGGAGGGAAGGAGGAAGGGGAGGGAAGGGGAGGAAGGGAGGAAGGAGGAGAGAGAGGAAGGAGAGGAGATATCTGCCTACGTCACCTCACCTCACTGAATTATTTTCCTGGTACAATATCTGAAGATTCCCACCTCCCTCTCCCCCTCTCCAGCAATATTTCACCGAAGATAATCTACCCTAAATCTACTTGGGGGTATAGGTTAGGTGACCATTTGAGAGGTTAACCAGCAGGTGAAATAATCTGCTGTGGGAGGGAGGCTTGAATAAAGACGAAAGCTAAGGTACTCCGTTGTTTCCCTTTTCCCGTGTGATTTTATCAAGATTTATCTTATCCACGTTTTCATTGTGGATTTACATGAAATATCAACACTACTGTACGTCCACAATATTCCCGACTCTAGACCCAAATTATCAAAGCTTCATATGGTCTTAATTCTCCTCTCTCTTGCTTCACAATCTCAAAGTCTCGATACAATTCTGAAGTCTATGCCATCTTTGTGTCGCAGCTTGAGTGAGCCAACCAGATGCATCCAGAATGAGCGGCTGTGCATTAAACTGTCTCCTAACTAATGCAAAGTGAACATAGTAATTTTTTTATTAACATTGTGCCTTATAGTAAATTTAAAGGCTATTATGAACCAACAGATATAAAATTTTTCTCACATCTCTACTAACGGAAAAAAAAAATACGGTTCGATATTTTCCCTCTTGTAACTAAAGTAAAATAAATAACTAAAAAAAAAAAAACATGTGAATCTCTCTTTGTGTCGTAGCCTTTAAGTGAGTCACCCACAACTCTCCCAGTTAAGTTAAAACATGAAGACAGGAACAGCAGATAGCTCTACAACCTTATGTCAGTCGTTAAGAAGGAGGATTAACAAAAAAAAACTACGGTAAAGAACCATTAAGAATCCATCATGGTGTCGTAAGCCAAGTGAACCAGCAGAGAGAGAGAGAGAGAGAGAGAGAAGAGAGAGAGAAAGGAGAATTTTTAAAACATCTCCCACAGTTTCTTACTTAAAGGGATAGTGTCTGCCGGAGGAGGGGAGAGAAGGAGGGGGAGAGAGGGGGAGGGAGGAGGAGGAGAGGGAGACTTGATGACACGACATCTATCTGACGGACGACCTGGGCCATGGTGGGAGGGGCGGTGGAGAGGGAGGTGGTGGGAGAGGGGAGGTGGAGAGGGGTGGTGGAGAGGGGAGGGATGGTGGAGAGGGAGGAGAGGCGATGGGAGGAGGGCGTATTGGGAGGGAGGATGCGATGGAGAGGAGAGGAAGGAGGTGAGGGGAGACAATGGGAATGAAGAGAGGAAACGATGATGGGAAGGAGAGGGCAAGGATGTAAAGTGAAAGAGAAGAAAGAAAGAAACGAGAAGAAAACGAAAGAAATGGACAAGAGGATGGAAGGGAGGGAAATGGAAGGAAAATGGAAAGATGGGAAGGGAATAAGTACGCAGGCAATGATGGAAAGAAAGAAATAGGAAGCAAAAGGAAAGAAGGGAATTGGAGAGAGAGAGGAGAGAGAGAGAGAGAGAGAGAGAGAGAGAGAGAGAGAGAGAGAGAGAGAGAGAGAGAGAGGAGTTAATGGGTGAAACACAAGAGAGGGAAGGGGTTGAGGGCTGGGTAGGGAGAGGAGTTGGAAGAGACAAGAGGGGAAGAGGTATAGGGAAGGAGGAGGAGGAGGGAGGAGAGAAGGAGGAGGAGAGGGAGGAGGAGAGAGGAGGAGGATTAGTCGTCGTGGAGGTGATCAATAAAGGTCAACTGCTGGCTAATCACCCACTTGGAGCCCTCCACCAATCACCGCCCGCTTGTTCTTTTACCATTGTCCTCCTCTCCTTCCTCCTCCACACTTCTACCACCACCACAATCCTCCAGAACCACTACATACCCTCAACAACAATCCCTACTCCTACCACAACTACCACCATCCATCCTCTCACCAACATTCTCCAAACAACAACAACCACTCCTATTTCAACCACGACAATAGGACGAACAATTTTTAAGTCAAGGTGGAGGCAGCATTTCACCACACACACACACACACACACACACACACACACACACACATTAATATTCATTGTTGATTAGCGACGCGCACTGCTGCTGCTTTTCCTCCCGTCCTACCTGACAGACAAACAGACGGACAGAGAGACGGACAGACATCTCCTCCTCCAGTACTAATACTCTCTTGTGTCTTCCTCACCTCCTTCAACTTCCTTCCTTCCTTTCTTCCTCTTTTTCTCCTTCCCCTCTTCCATTGATTTATTTTCTACCTCCTCCCCTCTTCCATCTCCCTTATTTCCATCCCTTCTGTCTTTTCCACTTACCACCCTCAACCAACACCACCACCACCTCCTCCTCTCCCTTCCACTAACACCAACACCACCTACACCCCCAACACCACCACCACCTGCCAACACCAACACCACCACCACCGCACCAACACCAACACCACCCACCCCTCCTCTCCTTCCACAACATAACCACCACCACCACCTCACCAACACCACCACCACCTGCACCACAACAACACCACCACCACCACAACACACCACCACCCCCCCTCCTCCTCCACTACCCCCACCACACTCACCTCAGCTTCTCTCCTCAGAAAAAAATAACTCCTTTCCAACAGCATTTACCTTAATCTAGCTTCAGAAATGTGAAAAACGCTAAATCCATTTTATCCTATGTATACATTAATCCGGGTTAAGTTGCTTTACTACTACACCTAATTAAGCTAAATCCTCGTCACTAATTGTACGTTAATCCCTCACGTGTTGTGTTGTAGTGTGTGTGTAAATGGCGTCTCTAACAACAAGCACCATGTAGGATGTTTTAAGCAGATATGTCAAGGGTTCAAAATGTTGGCACGATACTGTTCTTGAAGTGTCTCTAAGTCTGGCTGAGAGAGAGAGAGAGAGAGAGAGAGAGAGAGAGAGAGAGAGAGAGAGAGAGAGAGAGATAATAATGTATTGTGATAGCCGCCAGCTGTGAACTTTAAGCCGACCCCAGAACAAGGTACCAAACTTCACTAGGATTCGGGTGATTCATAACTCCTGAATCCGGGGAGAATTCTTGTACCCGGACTCACCTTAAAGGTTCACCTGTGACATGACAATTGTGATGTCTTGTTGATATACACTAACCAACGTCTCCTGTATACACATATACACACACTATTAAGATTTCTCTCTCTCTCTCTCTCTCTCGCTCGCTCTCTCTCTGCCTCTCTCTCTACGTGGTGCCACAAATATTTACCCTTCCTCCCCTGTTCCTTCCCTCCTTCTTATTCTTTCCACCCCCTCCTGACTCCTCCCTCCTCTTCATGACTTTTCTTTCGTTCTTTCCTCCTTTCCCCTCCGCTCCCTTCTTCCCCTAGGGGTGAGGGAGGGCAATTTACTAGTAAGGTAGTTTTCCTGTCGTTTGGGGGGAGGCCATCAGAGCCTGAGGCGCAGGATAACGACGCATCACCACGCTCATACACGACAAGGAGGGAGGCCAGGAGGGGACGACAGGGGAAAGGAGGGGCAGGAGGTCAAGAGTAGGGAGGAGGAGGGAAGAGAAGGTGGATAAGGAAGGGAGGGAGGCCAGGAGGAGGGTGGACGACAGGGGAGGGCAGGAAGAGGAGGTCAAGAGTAGGAGGAGGAGGGAAGAGAAGGGTGGATAAGGAAGGAGGCGGAAGAGGGAGGAGGTGGATGACAAAGGAGAGAGGTCAAGAGGAGGAAGAGGTGGAGGAGAGAGAAAGGTGGACGACAAGAAAGAGAAGACAGGTGCAGGAGGGGAGGAAAGATAAGGAAATCTGGGTGAAAGTTAACAAGGAAAGGAGAAGGAATGAGGACAAAGACGAGGAAGGGTAAACAAGAGGGAGAGAAGGAAAGAAAACAGGGAAGAGGTGGAGGTGAAGGCGAAGAAGGGAGGAAGACATGAAAGAGGTGGAAGGGAAGGAGAGGGAGAGAGGGAGACAGGGAAGGGAAGGAGAGGTAGACAGAAGAGAAGGAGGTGAAAGAGGTAGACAGGGAAGAAGTTGGGGGGGGGGCGTCAGAGCAGTGTTAGATATGCATGTAACTCACACGGCTGAACCTGACCATCAACACTCGACATTCCCAAGTGACGTGGTCTGTGGGGTGGTGGTGAGGTGGTGGGTGGGGGTGTGGTGGTGGGAGGTGTGTGTGGTGGTGGTGGTAGGGTGGGAGGTAGGGTGATGGTGATGAGCAGGTAGTAGTTATAGTAGTAGCAGTAGTAGTCCCCCAATACCACTATCCCCATCCCCACTACCACCATCCCCTACCCCCACTACCACCATCCCCCACCCCCCACTACCACCATCCCCTACCCCCACTACCACCATCCCTACCCCACTACCACCATCCCCACCCCCACTACCACCATCCCTAACCCCACTACCACCATCCCCTACCCCCACTACCACCATCCCCCCCCCCACTACCATCCCCCTACCCCACCACCCATCCCCACCCCCACCACCATCCCCACCCCCACTACCACCATCTCTCTGTGCCATCCTCACCTCTTCCCAATAACTTTTAAACCACCCACAACATCCATCACCGCTCATAATCCCCAACACCCTCCACCACCACCACCAACACTCCCTCAACACCACCACCAACATTCCTCACCACCATCAACACTCCTTCACCACCAACATTCCTCA